AATCCCCCCTCCCTCCCTCATCTCCTCCCTGCCCTTTTCCAAGTCCGCTGATAGGGGAGGTCCTCCTCCTCTTCCATCTGCCCCTAGCTTATCAGGTATCTTCAGGCCTGGCTGCAAAGTCCTCCTTTGTGGTCTTGCAGAGCTGCTCCTCCCTGGGGGGGAGGGGGGCTCAACACTTCCCTCACAGTATAAACACGGTAGGAAATGGAGTGATTTACTTTTACATTGATTGGTGTCATTATCCACACTGGGGGAAGGTGGAGAGAAAATGGTTTTCAGGGTTGCTTGGATGCTATAAATATCCATATGTGTTTTTTGGTTTTTGGTTTTTGTCATTTATTCCTCAAACAACTATGAAGTACTTCTCCAGAAAGAAGTAAATCAGCATAATGGGTGAAACTTAACGTCCAGGTTTTCATTTGTTCTAAAACTGGTATAGAGAACTTTTAAAGCTGCGTGAGTGCACTGCCATAGTGATGTCATAATGCATACGAGATACTGAATGATTCAGTGGGCAGCGTATATTGTAATAAGTTGTTTCAAGATGATATCGTTAATAATGAAAGAAAAGTCATTATCATAATCTTGTTTCCAAAAGCAATGTTGATGTCTTATTGCCTGCATTTGCATTTGCTGCAGCCTTTGGAGTGCCTTGACTTAAGTATTCAGGACTACTAGTCTTTTAAATTAAGAGACTGCTCAGTTGACAATTTGAAACAAAGTATGAGTTGTCTGAAAGTGTTAAACAACTTTATTACATAAATACCTACAGGACAGCAGATGATGTCTTCATTACTTTCCTGTTGCCTTTACAAATGTTTATATATGCTTATGTTGCTACTTTTCGGGTGTTTTTTTGCACTTTTAAAACTGTTTAAACTTCAGTATTATTTTTATCCTTTTCTACAATCTAGCAAAGGAGGATCAGTCATGAATATCTTGCGGTTTTCCTTAGAAAACACACAGGCTTTCTACTGGTCACGTGCGTGCTCAGAGCTTTGTGAATGATAAGTAACAGAACTGGAATTTAAAAAGCAAAACTGTTGGTGTCTCCTGACCAGTGTACTGTGTGAAATAAATATTCATGTATTTGCTGTAAAGTGTATCCAGAAAAGCAACCACAGGATATTTTAGTGACTTTAAAAAGATCTTTGAAGTATCAAAACACAGTAAAGTGTTATAGGATAAATAGCCTAAGTTATAAAATATCCCCAACAGGTCAATATATTTTGTTTTGTTTTGCTTTTGTTTGTTTGTTTTTCAGGACAGGGTTACTCTGTGTAGACTTGGCTGTCCTAGACTCACTTTGTTGACCACGCGGTCCTCGAACTCACAGGCCTGCTTCTGCCTCCCTGACTGTTGGGATTAAAGGCATGTGCCCAGCTCCAGCAGGTCAATATTACGAGGTAGATCCAGGAGAGTTAATGAAAATATGGTGGCTACTAAGAACACTGGAGAATATGTGGCAACTTAATGGGAGTTTTGAAGAAGCAGAAGAGCTCGTAGGACAGCGGTTCTCTGAATTTAAGTGCCACATGTTAGAAAGTCTTTAAATTACAGCAAATTCTCTCTCTCTCTCTCTCTCTCTCTCTCTCTCTCTCTCTGGAATAGAAATTGGCAAAAGTGAATGAAAACTTCAATTGTCTCATCTATGCAAGTCAGTCTTTTGAGACCAATGTTTATACAAATGAGAAAATTATTTAGTATAAAAAAATTAACTATATTCATTGCTGAATAATGAAGCCAGAATTTCTGCCTTTTAATCCTCACAAAAATGTAAGAGTTCACTGTAGCTGGAAGAGTCACTGAGAACCTCCAAAACAAGGAAATAATAAATTCCCACTGAGGAGGTCCTTTGGGTTAAGATTTTTTTAGCTCTTGACCTTTGACCTAACCTAATCAATGCCTTATTTCTATCTCCTTGGGCTGTACCGTACAGCCCTGCCCTATGTATGCCACTCTGTCCTGCCTTTCAAGGGTAACTTCAGGTTAACAAAAGAAGAAGTAGATTTCTGTAGCTACAGAATATTATAAAATACAGTTTTAAAGGAGAAAATAATACCATTAGTTTAATGCATCAGAAGTGATTGCTAATGCCAGTTTTACTATACCTATAGGATATGAGTTAAAATAACTAACTTGGGTTTGTTTTTTGTTTTTTGGTTTTAATTACTCCTATATATCAAGTGTCTGCAGTAAGAAGCATTTACAAGACTTTGTTAATTTTTTATAGAACCAGAGGTGTGAGACTGTACATGTTGGAAGTTCCAAGGGAATGTTTGGGACATCTAGGTGAACCTGAATTTACAGCATGAAACAGGCTTGAAGAGGAGAGTGGGCATTTCTGAAGTTACCCTGTACATTTCCTTGCTCTTAGACAACTTGGCATTACAACATTGTTATTAATCATTAATTCCTTCACTTTTCTGAATGTTGTAAGTCCGTGTTGACATGATTCTTAGTGACACTTTTCTTTATTTTTCATTCAATAATTAACTGCTTCATACTGCCAGACAGCTTCCTAGATAATAAATAAACAAATATCTTATTTTCACAATGTCTGTGTCTTTTGGGAAGAATAAACATAGAGGTTACCTGAAGGGGAACACATAAACAGTCTGTGGGCTGGAATCTCTTGCTATCAACCCCATTTCACCAGTGAAAGTACAGATACAAGACTCTGACCCAAGAACATACAGGACTAAAGCAGCAGAGGTGGATTCTACCTAGGCATTCCAAGCCTCAGAGGTCTTTAATATCTTTTACCTTTGCTCTGCAGTATTAAGGCCTTGACAAGAATGGCAGAGTCAGAAATAGTCATGGGCCACAGTGTGAAGCTCTCCTGAGTCACCTAATCTGAATTGTTTTCAAAGAAACCAGTGGATTAAACTAACTAACTAACTAACTAACTAACTAACTAACTAACTAACTAAC